CGTTTTTTTTACACCAAAAGATTCTTAAAACAAGTTCCAGATTCTTATACATACATTATTAACAATTATTTGGAAAATTCTTGCTTGATAAAAAACTTTCGAAAAAAAGCCATATATTCCTTTTAAATAAAAATCAAGAGGCCATAGAAAGCCGAACCAAAATTGCACGGCCAAAGTAAGGCCGTCGAAGAGAGTGGAGTTGTAAAGTGGTTTTTTGCAGCCGTTGGTAGACCGAAGCAAACCTCCTCAAATAACGATCTGTACAAACCAAAGGAAATTTAGAGCGGCTGAAAACACTGCAGTTTTCATCTTTTTCATATTCTAACTCCTCAGTTTCGTTATATTTTCGTAAGGAAATCGAGGGTTGTGTATGACAAAAAGATTTCAAATTCAGCTTCCCAGGATTGCCCGGGACTTACGTACGGGCACGTGAGATTTGACGTAACTCCGCAACCGAAGCATCCAGAGTGCTATCTGATAAAGCAGCTTCCCTTTAGTGGTTCTTAATTTTTCCAGGGTCTTCTTAAGATTCAGACTGTTGACATTTTTCTTCATAGAAATGTTAGTACAAATTCTCTATTGTTTGAAACGATTCACAAAGAAATCGCTTTTTCCTCTGACCGATTCAGGCGAATTTTTTTTGGATTTTTGTACTAGCAAATAGGCCCGCGGATTTTTGTTAATAACAGCTAAGATCAATTGCAGGTGCTTGATGATGCGCAAACGGTTGAGGAGGTGAAAATTGATACGGCCAAATTCGTGGTCATCATGATCACCAGGGTAAGCTGGTTCACTGAATTTTAATTTTAATTTTAGTTGGTACATGTTTATGAAAGACGTAAGGGAATAAAAAAGGAAGATGTGAATAAGATTAAAATCTGAATGGGAATGTTTCGGTTTATTAAGTCGCATACATTCCTGTTCAGTGCTGCAATTGGATCTCGTCAGTGTGACGGTTGCAGCGAAAGTAGCATTCAGTGTGCAAAAAAATTGAATAAGGAAAGTTAAAATAAAAGAGTTAAAATAAAAGTTGAAAATGCATTTTATAAGATGTTACCTCCACCATTACGCATGTTGAACTGACAGATGTACCTGTAAAGTCAATAAAATAAAAATGGAGCTAATAAATCTAAGGTGGAAACAAACGAAATTTGCATTCGCTTAACTAAACATTTTCTAATGGAACTCGTTATGCAAATGGCCAATATGGACTGACCAGAGAGAGCTGCCTGTGGTCAAATTTCCGACAACAAAAGGTTCATGCACATCCTCGATCCGCAGTTCTTGCCTCGAGCTCCTGTCTTGTATCCTCGTTCCTCTTCCAACTGCAACATCCCTGGATCATCTTTCGGTGAAGGATAAAGGAACAAAAATAGGAATGATAATGTGATATCAGAAAATAGTGAATATGGGCTAAAAAGAAAGGAAAAGAAGTAAAAAATAGCGTGAAATTGGAGAAACAAGGAATTGCTATGCTCTCGTTGTTCACGTTTTGGCTTCAAAGTTTATACGTGGAAAATATTTGTGATGAAGCCTCAGCAGTATGTTGTCACACCCAATTCATGTATTAAGGGTAAATAATGGCGGTAGATTATGATGAACAAGCTGAATATTTGTTCCTCAACTGCAAGATTTTCTTTTGCAACAGGATTTATGTGTGTGGTTGCTACAATTACAAGCATTTCGCACTTGCCTGGATTTCGATTTTTGCTGATTTTTTGCGAATAAACGTGATGGAACATGAAATATTTTACTTGGCGGCGTATGAACTCTCTCAAATTCAAAAAATTCATCTTTCTTTTCCTCATTAGCCACTGCGACTGTCATACTGACAAGGTCCTGCCGCGTGGAATTGAGTTAAGACCTAATGGACCGAAACGCCTTATCTCACACTGGCCTTCTGTTCTGATACTGCTCTTTTCCGAATTGTCTCAAGCTTTCCCCGCTTTTGCTTGAAGAATGATCCTGGAAGCAAAAGTGGGGGAAGGTGCGGCTTGACTTAAGTGGGGGAAGGCACTCGGCTTGACTTATACACTTGGTTTTTCCTCTTCCAGCGGATTTGAAGTCAAAAAAAAAGTTCGTTTCCACTTATGCGAGTCGGGGGGACGGTGCAGTTCTTTCTGAAATTACATACTTTATTGGGATGGTATCGACGCAAGAACGCCGTTCCAATATATCTTCATTGCGATTGACTTCCTGATTTTATCAAATTTTTTTAAAAAGAAAGGAAAGATAGGATTTCCGGTGGTCGGCAGGTTTGCAGTAGAAATCCTGGAATTAGCGGATTCTGCTGCTTTTTACTCGTAAAACGATTCTTTTGAAGCTTTGACCCACCGTTTGTATAAAGCACAGTACTCGTGAGTTTTCTGCTTAAAATGTGCTACAGGAAATTTTCATACGATTTCAGAAAAAGGCTCCG